GATGTCTAACAATAGGAAGTGTGACTCTTGGCTTATGGAAAAAAATGGAAGGATTGACACATACACAAAATTATGCATGGCTATGGTGTTGTTTTCCTTCAATCTCATTATGTGTTAAATTTTTCATTTTCATCCTTCAAATTTTCTTTCAAATTTCTAGTATTGAGTCATTTTAAGTTGTCATTTTGGTTGCATGGAGACAAACAACAATTTAAGTGTGGGGGTGTGATAAGTGTGCAAAATCATACACTTTAGCACCCAATTATATCTTTACTTCACTTCATTTTACATATTTCCCAATCCTATATTGAGTCTTTTAGTTTTATCTTATGGTTTTACATTTAATGGAGCTAGGATGCAGGAATGGTAATGTCTTATATATTTAGTGAGTAAAATGTTAACAAAAGCATTGTTGTAGTAGGTGTACAAATTGTTGCAGCACTGGACGCTGATATGGCACCCCAAGGCTCACTCGTGTTGAAGAAGTGAAAAGTCAAGATTTTTGAAGAAGCATCTCTTAGTACCTGGAGGCTAACTTAGATAGTTGATGCCCCTGCAAGATACCTTAAGCATTTTGTACTTAAGAATCTTTCTTTTGACCATTGGTTATTAACCATTGGATAATAGCATCTCCTTGTACTTTTTGATTCCCTCCTTATAGTATAAATAGTGAGGGTAATCCTTTGAACATGGTAACCAAGTGTGGTGTGAATTTGTAATCATTATGAACAATTACCATCAGAAACAAAGCTTTATTTAAGCTTTGGTTCTTTTTTACTTTTTAATTTGCAAGTAATTTTCAGTGTTCTTCATTACTGTCTGTTGCTACAACGACCTTTCCAGCTTTCTTTACTTTTTCATGCAAGATTTACTTTTACGTCTTTTACATTCAGTCATTTCCGTTTATGTTATTTACTTTTAAGCACTTACATTTAGTCATGATAGGCTAAATACCTTAGTATAGGTGTAAGTGAATGTTGTGAGATTACATCAAGTGTTAGTTGAAGTTTGCTTGTTAATAGCAAATTATTTCACTATTCACAAATGGTATCAATATTTTATCTGGTAATCTTTGATAAATTGACACATGTTATTTTATTCATATGAGTTGGACTTAAAATTAAGATAACGCAAATATTTTTACTAGTTGTGTTATAGAGGCTATAAAGAGTCACCTTAATCTTATGGGTCGCAAAACTATATGGAAAGAAAGGCAAGATGTGTACTAGTTGGGGATTGATGCATCACCATGTGCACTTCCAACATATGGTCTATTCTACACTTCCTTGGAAGACCGTTCAATCCAATAGTGTTGTAAAGAACTATTTGTAGAGCAATATTCATTTCACTTCATTGCTGAAATCCAATCTGATCTTGCATCCATACTATCTTTTAATTATTGTTGCATTTTAATATTTAGTTACCAACTCTCATGAAGATATTTTCTCTTTGAAGCTTTATTGCTTCCAAAAACCCTTTTTCTGAAATCTCACTTTAAAGTTGACTTTTGTGACTCTTTTTGCAATTTAAATATCTAAATAATGATATTTGGTATTATTTACCATTATTACTTGATTTGGACAATACTTGTAAGCCATGTATACTTGCATGACTTACTTGTCATTATAACCTTTAGAGGGTATAGATCCTTCCACACCAAGTTTTTGACCGCCTCGAGGACGACACCACCGGAAGAGCCAAGACTCCAAAAGGTGACTCTAAACTACATTTCACCTTTGATGATACTCCATCGTCCTAATGGCGAGACAGAAGCATAGAGATGTTAAGTTGGTGTTCAGCTGAACTTCAATTCTATGACATTGACATAGTTATCAAGAGATTCCTAACCAGAACTCAAGGCCGCCTCCAAGATTGGTATATAAGCCTTGGAGAATACAGACAAATCCAGATCCAGCAATCACATTCTCCTGCATAGTTCATCCATATAATCTATATGGAATTCATCGGCAACCCTGTCGAGCACACAACCCAGGCAAGAGACAAGTTCTTGAAAATGAAGTGTTACTCGTTCATGAAAAAACACCTTGAAAGGCATTATGATCGAATGTCAAAAAGGTTCTATGCCTTAATGGTGTCGATGATACGAATCTCAAACAAGTCTTCATAAACTCCTTTATAGAGTCCCTTATAAATGAGGTAAACAGGTTCCTAGAATCAAAAAAACATCTCAGTCGCACAAACCTCACTTGGTGGGATTTATCAATTAAGAACAAACTCAAGAACAAGAGAGGATATGGAAGAAGGTTTCATTTGGTGAGGGCGTTGAGTATCAATTGATAAAGTCCACCAAGTGAGGTTTATGCGACTGAGATGTTTTTGGATTCTAGGAACCAGTTTACCTCATTTGCAAGGGACTTTGGAAAGGAGTTTATGAAGACTTGTTTGAGATTCTTATCATCGACACCATTAAGGCAATAGAACCTTTTTGACATTCGATCATAATGCCTTTCAAGGTGTTTTTTCATGAACGAGAAACACTTCATTTTCAAGAATTTGTCTCTTGCCTAGGTTGTGTGCTCGACAAGGTTGTCGATGAATTCTATATACATCATATAGATTAACTCTTCAGGAGAATGTGATTGCTGGATCTGGTCTGTCTGTATTCTCCAAGGCTTATGTATCAATCTCGGAGGCGCCCTTGAATTTTGGTTAGGAATCTCTTGATGACAATGTCAATGTCACTGAATTGAAGTTCAGTGGGACACCAGCTTAACATCTCTATGCTTCTGTCTGGCCATTGGGACGATGGAATATCATCAAAGGTGAAATGTAGTTTAGAGTCAGCTTTTGGAGTCTTGGCTCTTCAAGGTGGTGTCGTCCTGGAGGCGGCATCTTCTGGGCCATAACCACAATCCGAATCATTTCGTACAGTGGATTCTGTCTCCATCATGAACAGATGTTCAAAGTCTTCAGCGGAATCAAAGGCATCTTCTTCATGTGGTACAGGGTTGATAATTGGGGCTACAATTATGAAATCTGGGTCCTTTTGACATTGAGCTAATGATTGAAGGAAGGAAGAAATGGGGTTTGGTTGATTTATCGAGAAAACATTTGGGGGTTTTGAGGAGGCCGACATGAAGTATCATCAGGCATAGGTTATGTGGTCGAGGATACCACTGTCCTACCTGGAGCTTGAGACAATCCTGCAGAGAATTGTGAGGCTTTGGCCTTCAGTTTTTGTTTTTCTGAGGACCATAACGATAGGGATGGGGAGTTTTGTCGATGTGGTGTTGGAGGTAATGGTTGTGGGTCGAAAGATGTTATGATAAAAGGTGTGGAGGGTAATCTCCATGGATCATTAACAGAAGTTGATATCCTTTGTTATTTGTGATATCTTTCAAGATCAACAAGTTGGTTTTTATTAAACTTCATTTCTGCTTCTTTTCGGGCGAGTGTGGCTGATGGTTGGGAAGGAGGAATATCACTAACTAATTGGAGTAGTTCGTTATGAAGTTCTTACATCTTAATTTTGATCTCGTTGATCATTCCCTCAAGAGATTAAACTCTTGTAGCAAGGGTTTCCTGTGTCTTCATGGACTTCGTTTGTTGGGCTATGATCGTTCTCAAGATTTGGTTCTGAGCGACAACATTTTCACTTTGCCAGTTGAGTGTGGCTTCAACAGCAATGACAGAATCATAGATCCCTGTAGTGCTTATGGTTATGGGTGATTTTATTTTCCACTCATGCTTGGTTCATTGTTGAGTATTTTTAAAAGGGCTCAATGGGGGAAACTCAGGCTAATATTCGGATGATGATGTTGTTGGGGTAATGACACAACATTCTTTTTGGGCTCGCTTTTGGGGACTTTTAGGGAATGGGTTATGACAAGCCTCACGGGTTGTGATTGGGGATTTTTCATAAAGAACATAATAGTCGAACTTTCCTGATGGTTCACCAAAAAGTCCTACCGTAGGATCTCCTGCTTCATATCTCCTTTTTAGCTTGTATTGAGATCCCTTCTTTTTTTGGAATATTCTTATCATACTCACCTCGGTATGCTTCATCTAGGCACTCTTGACAATAATAGACATCATAACAGCAACATTTTATTGGCTTTGAGGGTTGAACTAGCTCAACCATGTGGACCGTAGGAAAGATGTTGGGTTTTTTCTGGGAAGAGAATTTGACTTCTACAAGTCCATTATCATTTCGGATGAAGTCTGGGGTCGTGGTAGTTTGTACTGGTGCTTGGTGGATCTGCTCATAGTTAGTTATCCATTTTTCTAGGAGTAACTTGAGTAACTCCTCTTTGGACAACTGTCCGGGGACGTAGGTACATGTGGGTGTTGCACTTGAGTTGATGTCTATGAATAGCGCATCTCTAACATGTTCTTGATCTGGTACCATGATATCTAGAGAATGGTTTTGTACTTGGTACGCCATCTGGTAATGAAATGTTGCCTGAAAGGTATTTACTTGAGGAGTACCACCAATTTGGAGCCTTAAGCACGTATAACAACTAATTTTAATTGATACGTAAAATTTTATATAATATACCAACTAATTATACTTGGTACCAACATTTTTCAGCTGGTAAATGGTACGGTTTTGTACCAACATCGTAAAAATTGAAATTATAAATTTATTTATATTGATATTTTTATTAACTAGATTTGCCTGCACTAGAACAAACGAGTATTCAAATATCATATTAACATGTTTTATATTATGTTTTAATATTTTTCAAATAAAATAGGTACGTGTCTATCATTTTCATATTATATGATTTTAATTTGTAAATTGTTTAGAAAATTTAAAGCAAATAAAAAAATGGGTGTAAAATTTGGGGTACAAAAGAAACATTAATTCGACTCCAAAAAATATACACATTTAGAAACCGGGGATCTTTTTCTTCCAATCACAAATGGGTATTTGTGATCTGGCATAAAATTTGATTAGTCCTCAAAAAAAATTTGGTAGATTCGTTAGGGAATGCAAATTGCTAAATGTTAAATCTTGGGCGGTAAAATCGAAATGAAAAGAGAGTGTGTTCTTGATCCTGCTCATTTGTAAAGTGAGTCAACCCGTTATAGAAATTCAAAAAATTGGGAAATCGATTGGGTTCATCAGACAGAGATGACAACAACGAATAACACCCAAAATGGGGGTGTTTCTGATCTCCATCCGGTGTCGGAATGCGATGAGGAAGCACTAGTCTTGGGTTTGGATGGCGGCACCACATCAACCATATGTGTTTGTATGCCTTTTTTCCCTATTTGCAACCATCATCTTCCTGTTCCCCTTCCTGTTCTTGGCCGCGCCATTGCTGGTTGCTCCAATCACAACAGCGTCGGAGGTATCCAATTCCGATTGATCACACATTTTGCTCAAATTTCTTGCGTTTTGTACCGATGTGTTTATTTTATTTTTACTTTTTCGGCATTTTTCCAATATAACTTTCATTGTCGTACGCTTCCTCCCTGCCTGAACAAGAGATTAACTTGACTTTTAATGTGTTAAATTTGATATGGAATTCAAACATATTTGAATAATTTTCTCGATTTCCATACGTGAAGTCAAAGGGTATATTTCAATTGTTCAAATAGACGTTGGGGAAAGAAGTTGCTTTTTGCTGCTATGATAGAATTCAATTTTGCACTGCAACCCCATGCCATTGTTTGACTGAAGACGCCATAAGCAACAAAAATAGTTCATTCGTTGGTTTTTTACAGTGTTTTTTTTTCTTTGCCTTCTGAATCCGTTATGACAGAAACTTTAGCCAGAGATACATTGGAGCAGGTAATGATGGAAGCCCTTTCAAAATCAGGCGCAAAGAAATCCGCTGTTAAAGCTGTTTGTTTAGGTGTATCGGGTGTCAATCATCCAAAAGATCAGGAAAGGATACTGAATTGGCTAAGGTTTAGTCTTTGTTCCTTTGGCACTCTTAATCCACCAAACTCTCTCTCTCTCTCTCTATATATATATGTGTGTGTGTGTGTGTGTTTATTTATGTATCTTGGAAGTTGTAAAATTCTTGCCTACAGTTTTGTTTTCTTCCTTTGTCCAATTTGATTCTCTGATGTTGGCAGGGACATATTTCCAAGGCATGTCAAGCTTTATGTTCAGAATGATGCAGTAGCAGCTCTTGCAAGTGGGTCCATGGGAAAACTTCATGGATGTGTTTTGATTGCAGGTACAGGGAGCATCGCTTATGGTTTTGCCGAAGACGGGAAGGAGGCTCGTGCCGCCGGTGGGGGACCTGTCTTGGGTGACTGGGGCAGGTAATCTTGTGTTTTCGTCTCCTGGGGTGCATGAAGTGAAGTGGCTACATGTAGTATATGCTAAAATTCTAGTATTCTCTTTTTGCCTATTGGTTGTTTAGAAAAAGGACTACATGCAAAAATTTGGCCATAGTTTGAGGTTAGTTGCAGTTTGCTTTCAATGTTTGCTCTCTATTTTGTGCCGGAATATAATAGTGTTAAGGTTTTAGTTTGACATTGAAAAGCAAATTGGGAAACTTTTACTGCCCACTTAGCACAAACACCTTTTGTAATTTGAAAACATGGTGAGATCTGCTTAGAACACATGTAGAAAAATAAGCATTAGAAACATAGAAGTTTGCATGATGCTCTAAAACTTCTTTTTATGCTCTTATAAATAGAAGTTCACATGTAGCTCTATGGTGGAGGGGGTCTTGGTTTAACTTTAGGAGGAACGGAACAAGACAAAAACGAAATTATGCGTGTTTTCTCCACCAACCCGCCTTCTTCATGGGTCCAGTGGATTTATCAATATATGTCATTTTGATGAGATTCTTCTGGTATAAGGGGGGTTGTTCATAGGTACTTGTTTTTCCAATGGTGCTTCGGGCATATTATCGGATGTATGTTACACATAAAGTGGTTGTCTTGTTGAGAGTTCTCCCATAGGTTGTCTCCTTTGTCTGTGCATTCTGGTGGGTGTTGAGAGTTTTTGTTTTGAGTGCTCATACGCCCGCTATGTTTTCTCTCAGATTTTGGACTTTTGTAGGTTGTCAATTGGTGTCAGCCCCCTTGGAATGGAATGGTATCAATTTTCATGCTCCTAAGTTCATATTTAAGTCAATACCATTGAAACATATACTCAAACCTTTCTCCAATAATGGTTTGAGCTTGGGCTCCAAAGGTCAAAAGTGCCTCGAGGTCTCAAGTTCAAATCCAAGGAGGAATAAAAATCCCCTTGTGGCCACGGAGGTTCAAATGCGGCGACTCCGGGATACCCGCAATGCAGGTGGTGGTTGCCCTGGGATTAGTCGGCTCGCATAGCAGGTTGGATATCCAGGTTAATAAAAAAAAGCTTTCTCCAATAATGGTTATTTTAAAATGAAGAGAGAAAAAAAAAAAGATTTCACAATAACAAGAGGATGGCATGTGAAGTCATGGTTAAGAGGATCTTAACAATGATTTAGGACATGTTAGAAAGCTTAATGGAAACACAACGGTTAATATTTCACTGAATCTTTTATGAGGCATTAGGTGTAACTGTTTTAGTTTTGTGTGGTTGATATGATCATTCTGTATCTTGTTTATGCAAGAGGGTTTTTGGTCACTTTCCATAATTTTGTCACCCTTTTAATTCTTTGGGATATACCATCTTGATACTTCTATATATGCACCTCCTTTTTGTTTATGGGGACATAATGGGCCTGTTCTGCTTTGTAGCCTTGTTGTTTGTATATTCTCATCCATTTACGCGATGTCTTGACTTAATCCAAAGAAAATATAACAGGTACAACCATAGCTGAAATGGTATCTCCATTGTCATCTGCCTAGATAACGTGTATAAACACACAAAAACATCTGCCTACCTCACTAAGAGGGACACAGATGCATTTTTTTATCCCACCAAAAGAGGTGAACAAAAGTAGGGAGATGGGACAAGATTGGTAAATTACTAAACTACCCATGTCAAATTAAAACCGTAAAACCTTCCACAATCTTTCACCTGCCTACCTCATTGTTGCTTGACCAGCCCTGTCCAGTCCCATCTGCATGAATGGGTATGCAACTATTGTTTGTGCGTTTGTCTGATCTGTGACAGTTGTATGCAGTGGTTATGGGATTGCTGCTAAGGCGTTGACAGCTGTTGTAAGAGCCCATGATGGCCGAGGTCCGCAGACAATGCTTACAGATTCTATTTTGAAATTGCTCCGTCTTTCTTCACCAGATGAGCTCATTGGGTATCACTCTTATTCAATTTTCAGTTTCTTTTTCCGACCACTAAATTATTTTTTCTAGGTAACAGTTCTTAGAAAGATTACAAAGTAAATGGATGACATTGATCTAGAGCTATGTACTACCCAGACTATCATGCAATTAATGTCTGAACAATATTTAGAAAAATAAAGAAATAAAATGGCTGAATGAATATTAGAGAAAAGGTTGTCGGCATGGGCACAGCATTTCACAACTGGTTTCGTCTTCTTTCTTATTGGGACAAGGTGGACCTATGCAGATCCATCTTGGGCCCGTATTGCAGCACTAGTTCCAGAAGTGGTCTCTTGCGCAGAAGCTGGTGATGGAGTTGCAAATGAGATATTAAATTATGCTGTGGCAGAATTGGCTTTAACTGTGAAAGCAGTTGTTCAGAGACTTGGTTTGAGTCGTGAAGGTGTGGCTTTATCCAAGAGTTATAAGTTCAACAAAACTATTTCTTTTCATTGAGAAACACCAACCACACACACACACACACATATATGTAGGGGCAGGTTCAAACGAGAAGCTAAACATTTTGCGAGAAAGAGAAGTCTCAATATCATATATGATTACACGCATGATACATGGGTTAAATCATATATGATTAAACACATGTTGCATTGATAACACATAGATGCTTAATCATATATGATTAAACACATCCAAAGGAGTGTAATCATGTATGATATTGAGACTTCTCGCCTTCTCGCAAAATGTTTTAACTTCTCTCATGATCCTTCCTCCCTCTCTTGCTATATATATGATTTGCTGCTCTGGTTGACTGGTTGTGTGTTTGGTTTGCTTATCTTTTATTCTAATTGTTGTGCTTATTTCTGACTCATTTTCATTTCTAGCACTGCCTTTGTCTTCAAGTTCTTCTTATTTTTCTAAAGCAAACCAAACCAAATGACCCGAGTGTGTCCCACCTAGAGGTGGGATTCTTATTTTTTTATGTTCGTAATTTTCTTGAGCAAGCTTTATCATTTCTTTTCGCACACTTTGCACAAGCCAGGGATCTTCACGGAAACAGTTGATCTACTCTTCGGGGTAGAAATCAGATCCGTGTACATCTCAACCCCCACCCCGCTTGTGGACCCCACCTCCGGGCAGGACATACTGTGCTTGTTTGGTTTATATGATTTCCTGAGCATGGAAACTTTAAGGGATTCCTGGTTGGGGGTAATAGGGTGGGGAATGGAAATGTAAATCATTAATGGTGTGTGGTTTGATGCAATGAAATGGGCCATTGCTGGTGCTGAAGCATTCCTCAGCAAATTGAGGGGGAATGGAAATCATTCCCATCTCCATTCCCATTCCCGTTCCCATTCCCGTTCCCGTTCCCGTTCCCGTTCCTTAAAACGAACCAAACATCCCCTTTAGATAAACAATATAGATTACTTTCCTTTTGTTGTTATTGTTGTCACTATATTATTTACTTAATGGACACAAAGGCTTTCTAACTATGAATTGATGATTGGCTGCAGATGGTCGTGGCCAATTTCCAGTTGTGTTGGTTGGTGGTGTCCTCGTATCTAACAAAAACTGGGATATAGGGCAGAAAGTTGTCGACTGTCTTATGAAAACCTACCCCGGTGCTTTCCCTGTTCGACCAAAGGTCAGTTATCCAAAGTTGTCACCTCTTTTATTACAACAGTTTTGAATGTTATGTGATATAGTAGTTTCACCACTGTAGGTGTAGGTCCAAAAAACCATCTGAATACATACGGTAGTTTTTGGCCAAAAATAAATGAGGACCAATAATATATAAATATTGATTACGGAGGTGAGACTAGGAATAGGGGTTTGACAAAGCTCTTTATGGTACTCAAGTAGTCTGCGTGAGAGAACATATTGTCTTACAGGAGGTTTATTTTCTGACAACTGGTTCAAAATTTTAAGCTTGTGGGTTGGTGTTTGTTAGAGACGTGGGCTTGGAATATTTAGATAAAGAAACTAAGAAGCATTTTTTGGTACATAAAGCATCATAACTTAACATCCGGGGATTGGTTAGAAATCATGTGTTAGCTAATCCTAGTATTTTTAGAACATGTTAACCGGGCTCATATCAATCAAACAGTATTCATTTTCATATACATGACCTTATTTTGGGTTTTTTGGCACACAAGGTCTAAACTGTCATTTCACTTCTTCATGGAAAGTGTGTTTCATTGAACTTTTGGGAGGGATGTATTGATTCATCTCATATAATATGGTTACAGATAACGTTCCTACTATTCCATCAAATAGACTAATAAGTAGTTGGGAATGTAAATTTGACCTATGATCCCTATGAAGTCTAGGCATGGGAATGGGGAGGGGACCTCAATCCCTGTCCCCATCCCCGCCTGGGAATATAATCTTATCCCTATCCCCGCCTGGGAATATAATCTAATCCCCATCCCCGCCTCGGAATATAATCTTATCCCCATCCCCATCCCCAATGGGGAAACGGGGACTTTTTTCCGTTTATATAAGTTATTTTAAATTAAATATGTGAGAGACCATAAATGTTTAAATCTCAAAACATTTTCAATAAACCTACAACCAAAATGAATTTAATTTAATACAAAAAAACCACAACATCATATAAGAACTAATAACCTAAAACCAAAAAAAATTCAATTAAATCCAAAAAAACTTAAAGTCACATGTACCAAAACATATTGAATAATATAAAACCATATCGAGTAATATACAAAACTTATCGAGTAATTGCATTTTGACTTGACATCCAAAATATTACATATTAACATCCAAAAAATAACAATTGTAGATTATAAACCTAGTTAGGAAATAAGAAATTAATCAAGATACACGAGGGTTGTATTCATACATTTTTGCACTTCTCGACAAATATAATCTGTTTCATTATTGAACTACCGCTTTAAATAAATAATATACACACACACACATATATATGTATAAATATAATATCTATATAATTTATTAATTAATATATATATATATATATATATAACGGGTACGGGGCGAGGCGGGAAGTACCATACCCATCTCCATCCCCATCCTTGATTTAGCGGGGAATCCCCGTTCTCGACCGGGCTGGTGGACCGGGTTCCCCGACGGGTCGGGCCCATTCCTATGCCTAATGAAGTCTATTTTCGACTCACTCTATCAGATGAATAAGATCATATGCCTGAGTGTTGGGTTACGGGATCCATACATATAGCGGAAGCATAACCGTAACCACATCAAGCATCAAAACAAAACAGGGTAGATTCAGGTGTATAAAATTAGATGGAGTTGGATTTAAATGTTGCATACTTGAACTTCCATCCTCCGGTTATCCACACGAACGCTTGGACCACCATTGTATTTTGGGAAATCTCGTACTCTGTTCTGGTGCTAGCCTATACTTAGCAAAAGCTTTCATCTTTAAGCCACGTCCGCGTTCGGCCATATGGAAGAGCAAGAGAGGAGGGGGCAACTTTTATGTGAGACCAAATTCTTAAAGAACTTCATTTTGTTTCAACAAGGTTCCTCCTTATATGGATGAAATCCTAATCACTTCTTGGGCGTACGACCTCATATATATTTCAACGTTGGGTCCACGGTCCACATCTGTCAAATGTTGCAGCTGACATCTGAAAACGGTGCAACATTTTTCTGACAATGTTGCCTCAGTTGCTTCTGGCGAAGCTTCTAGAAGGCCGACCACTACATAAAGAGATCCATATACCAGTCATGAGCKATAGCGAAGCCTAGAGAGGCGCAGGGCAGGATCCAAGAGCTTAGAARGGGTCAGGAAAGGAGCAGAGAAGGGTTGGATTTCACCTATGACCAGATCAGTGGGCAACCATAGTTTACTTTTTTCGTAGTGTTGTTAACGTTGTTGAAAGCTCATTACTTATTTAAGTAGGCCTCGCTACACTATGGTGGAGGAGGTGCTGTGAAGATCTACGAGTGTGAGCAGTATGAGCTGAAAGGCTCCCATACTAATTGGAGGGCAGGGGGCATAGATGCCAAACAAACCTGACCCCTATCTATCGTTGTGGAAGCTGTTCCTAGGAAAGATTATGGTTCTCGGGTATCCAATAAATTAATCCCCCAAACTGGGGAGGCTTAAGTGGCAATGAAAGGGTAGGGTGAGGGAAAAGAGAAGGGGGGAAGCAACTGAATTTAAGGCTTCGCCCCCAGATCGCTTCATGAGCTCATTTAGTCATCGGCGAGTGTTTGCCCCTTTAGAGAAGAGATAGGGGCGAGTACTACACAAGCTCGTAAGTACAGTACAGAACGAGCCTTGTCTACGAAGCAGAGCGACCTCATCTTGCTTGCTTCTGGCGAAGCTTCTAGCAYTGGATAATAGGCATGGCAGGAATACGACTTTTTAGGTCGACCACTACACTACATAGAAGCGATAGCGAAGCTAAGCCGTATAAAGGCGAGCAACCCTTATAGCAATAGCAAACGACCTACTTATAGCCCTTCCCAATTTCCAATAGTAAACTTCCCAAGTTTAAGTAGGATAACCCCCTCTCTATTTTTCTCTTCATGTATGTAGGCTGCTTGCCCCGTCCCGAATAGATGAACATGAACAAGCTGAAGAAGCGAGAGAGATTTGAGATTCCGTAAGTAAATGATACTTTCTGTTTTGTCGAGAGGAAAAGGGGACATTGACATTCATCTTCCTCTTGAAGGGCTTTGAGAAGAAGGGCAACAGTGAAGATGCCGAGAATGGCCGTGTCTATGGGGATTATCGGGCTTAGTAAGAATCTTTTGCAAATGCATGTGAGGGAGGAATGCCAACATTAAGTTTTAAAGCTTGTCGTCTACTTAGAAGGAAATGTTTGGAACACGGAACTTACAATAATACAACGCTGCATTTTCGAAGATTGAGGAACAAGACGAGATCTATTAAGAGAATGATCTATTAAGAGGAACAAGACGAGATCCAATTACAAACTACACGAAAGTTGGCCCTTTTTCATGGAGATTTACCCATCACAGAGATGCATAGAGGAACAGAACGAACTTCATATATCCCTTTTCCACTCAATCCAGAAACAAGATCGGACGTTATTYCGGTTCGTCTCCATTTTAGTGAAACTCTTCCTCAAGCAAGGCAGCCGATAAGTCATCTAAGCCTTTGTGTGAATAATGTAATAGTAAGCATTACTTTTTTCAAGTTTCCCAAGGTGATTTCATATSTTTGAAAGAAAATGATGCTCTAATCTATTCAGAATTAAGGAGATCCTTCTATATAGAAATTTCAGTTTCTAAAATCATAGGAAAATTCTTGGATAGCCCGGTAAGAATGTGGAGAAGAACCAAAACRGAATGGTTCCGCTTACTTAAAACTAATAAATCTGGTCAAGGAGTAATCATTTGTCTATATGTAGATGACATGTTAATTTTTGGAACAAACCAACAACAAGTTGATGACTAAGGAGTTCTTGTCTTCCAAATTCTCTATGAAGGATATGGGGGAGGCTGAAGTGATACTTGGAATCAAAATTAAGCATGAACACCAAAGAATTTCTATCTCACAATCTCATTATATTGAGAAAGTACTAAAGAAATTTAATTGTTCAAATTGTTTCCCAGTTAGCACTCCTATGGATCCGAGTATGAAACTTATGCCCAATACAGGTCAAGCGGTTTCACAATTCGAGTATTCAAAAGTCATTGGATGTTTAATGTATGCCATGACTAGTACTAGGCCAGACATTGCATTTGCTGTAGGAAAATTAAGTAGATTTACAAGTAATCCCAGTACTCATCACTGGCAAGCTATAAGGCGGGTGCTAAAATATTAAAAGAAAACCAATGACTATGGTTTGTCATATATGGGATTTCCTTCGATTATTGATGGGTACTCTGATGCAAGCTGGATTACCAATTTTGAAGAACACTCCTTCACAAGTGGATGGGTGTTCCTACTTGGAGGAGGAGCAATTTCTTAGGCCTCTAAAAAGCAAACTTGCATCACAAATTCAACAATGGAATCTGAATTTGTAGCTCTATCTGCTGCTGGGAAAGAGGTAGAATGGCTCTTATGTATGAGATTCCTTTGTGGTCAAAACCAATCTCACCCATTTCTATACATTGTGATAGTGCTGCCACTTTGGCAAAAGCATATAGTCAAGTGTATAATGGAAAGTCGCGACATTTGGGTGTTAGACATAGTATGGTACATGAGCTGATCACTCATGGGATTATCTCTGTTGTATTTGTTCGATCACAACATAATCTAGTTGATCACTTGACTAAAGGATTAGCTAGGGACTTGGTAAATAAGTCAGCTATAGGGATGGGTTTAAGGCCCGTTTTATATTTCTAAGGTGAGATACCCAATTCCCTTCTAATACAATATTAGGAGTTGAATTCAATGTGGAAAGCTTACGTTTGGAGATTGAAGCACATCGTCTACATCATCCCAAGGTATGTGCTTAGTCCTGCAGACTAGAGTTAGGTTGAATATATTTCTTAATGGTTCTTTTGAAAAGTGCATTTGCAGGTGCCTGAAGTAAAGGGGCTACCTATGTAAGTGTGAAGTGTCGCCGCTTCTGAAAGCTTGGGCTTGGTTTTTTATGCACTCATGAATGGATAAGACACATGGCTTAGTAATAGTGTCAAGTGTAAACACTAGATTTTGTG